TTTTTTGATTTAGCATAATTTGCCATATGAATGACAAAAACGAAATAGCTTTAATTCAAACGATAATGATATTATTTCTTGCAGGGATTAAGAATGAACAGAACCCTGTTATCTCTTAACCTTGGAAGCAATCTAATTGGTGATAATGGGGCTTCCAAGTTAGCAGAGGTGAGTAAAACTCCTTCATTGAGGCTCCTACCAGCCAGCCATGAGTAACTGTGTCTACTGGCAGTGTGCTGCACCATCAAGCATGTATTACATATAACTTCCTGTCTTTCATGCACTGTTCACGCTATGAAAAGCTTGAAAGTTTTGAAATGCATTATGCTCTGCACATCCAGGCAATTTGAATTATTGAATTTTTTTTCTGGTGATATATGCATTGCAATGAAGTCTTATTAGCTAGTGATAATTCACATTACTTATGAACACTACAAAAAAAAACACATTACAGTAAATACATAAACTACAAAACAGCACAGTTTGCATCAAAGAAAAAAAAAACATTACAGTAAATAAACTACAAAATAGCACAGTTTGCATCAAAAGAACCTCCTGTTTGACTGTAAAAGTGGTAAACCTTCATCAATTTTTTTCTTTGAAATGATCTTTTAGGTGCTTTCAAGCTTTGCTCTTTCCCATGAAGAAGTGGTAGCAAGAAGGCTTCTCATTTCCAAGAAAACTCCAGAAGATGTAAGTTACATGTACAGTAGTTATTTGCTTTTCAACTTTTCTGCCATTTTTCTCTTTGAAAAATAAAATTATTGTAATTTGCTATCTTTTGCTGTCAACAGACAGGAAGTCCTTCCAGAAATTTGAATGCACCGACTGGAGGATCAAAGGACAGGCCAGCCAGTGTTCGCAGTGGGTAAGATACAGTTACGTTACATGTTACAGACTATTAATTGATAGGCACGTAATGCGTGCAGAAACTATATCTACTCAGTCCTTTGCACAGGTTACCATGACAGTATACAACATTTTGAAACTGAATGTATTTTTTACAACTGGGTTTCTTGTACACTGTACTGAATTTTTTTTTGTTTTTGCCTGAGAGCTAGCTTGCAGGCTAAATTGTTTGGACCCTTTGAAATAACCCCATTTAGACTGCAAGACTCAGTACAAAATATTTCATTTCCATCCTGCAGAACACATGTTTCTAAGGAAGATAAGAAAAGCAGAGAGAAAAGAGATGCACAGAAAAAGAAGGTATAAACAGTGAGCAACTAAACTCTCAGCATTTTTGTACAGTACATCATAGCAATACTCAAAATTCAGTTGTTTAATAAATAAGAGTACATCACGTTGGTTACCTTTGTAACATGAATCATTCAGGTGTTTCTTGGTCAAATATATCACTCTGGCCTTTAACTTCCCTTAAATGCTGACATCAAAGTTTATATTTAATTGCTCTATGACGATGAGGTCAAATTAACTTAAATACTGGGCAAGTTGGTGCCATAGATTTCAGTGAAAGTCTGCCATCGAGCTTACTTGCCTAAATTGGTGTTCCTGTTTTCTATGAAACTGAACTTTGAGGCCTAGATACGTGTACATCTAGTTCTTTTTTTCAACGGGTTTGTTTGTTTTTTACTGTTTACTTGCCAGCCAGCCCACACTGTACAAAGCATCTTGTTCAGCCACTATAGTTAAAAGCAGGGCTGTGCTCTTGAAGCGCCCCAGTGCCACAGGGTACTGACTTTTGCCTTTGGGCGACTGGAAAAACTTACTTTTTCATATAAGCCTAAGTGCTGGGCACCCAGGATTTCATGGTTAGGAACCTTTGGGATCCTTGTCATTTTTCTTAGACCACAGCCTTGAAAAGTGAATTTGTTTCTTGGAAGATAATATAATTTTGAGGAAATTTTTGAACTTTTAAATAGCAGCAAGGCTTTCTCGGTTTGTTTTAATTTGTTTTACAATGAAACAAACCAACAAAGCTTTGCTGCAATGGGGGCGTCTGATTTTAATTAATTGATTTATTAATCAATTAATAACCATAAACCTCATATATTAAACGTTTCAAATGATCACTAATTCAACTCGTTTCCCGGCTGCAACACATGCTTATCAACTGACGGCATTGGCCATTTCCTTTGTAGCTGTCTCGTCCCTTGACACGATCAACAGTAACATTTGCAGCAATAACCAGAGTTTTTGTTAGTACCATAGTGTAACAACTAACCATTTTGCACAAATAGCAAAACAGTTATGTAAAGAAAAAGGTTTCTGTGTCAATCTCTATGTTCTCAACCAAATGTCATGTTTGGTAATTCAAGTATCTTACAGCTGTGAGATCAAACATCAGGATGTTAATTCCTATTATATAGTAGCTCAGGATATTAATTCTCCTAACAGGTTGTTATCTTTATTTCAGTGATAGTTCTGAGAATTTCACTGAGCTTCGCGATGAATTCTTTAATTATTCGTGTTATAGTTTTAGATTGCGGCAATTCCATGAATTTAGATACATGTGAAATCGTTTCAGTGTAGACAACCATATTTTTGTTATAACGGATTGGGAAGGGGTATCTAGGGTTTTAGGTATCTGCGGACGTTTTTGTCATAAATGGGGTATCGATTTTGGTCATTGTGGTCATAAATAGGATATGGTTGTATTGTATTGCTAGTATTGTATTGGGTATGTTTTTTAGAAGAAGATTTTTTAGAAGAAGAAATTTTTTCATTATCGATGACGAGACCATCAACAAAAGCCCTTCTTAAAGTAGGTTTGTAGCAACCGTGTACATGCCGCAAAGGTCGTAAATAGTGTATCAAATTTTTGGTCAGGTCAAAAATAGGGCTGGGAAAATCGCAGATTTTGGTCATAAATAGGGTAAGGGTTTTGGGAAGCAGGCCGCACA